TGAAAGATATTCACAACTCCTGTCATGCTAGATATCTCGAAAACCGTCAATATTTTCGAAGTGAAGATATACATAAAATGTCTTTCATTTTCTATGTAAAAACCGAAAAAACGATAAAAAATATAGGTTGTCATTTGAAAAAACACAGTTGGGTTCCGCCCAGAAATAATTGAACATCATGTGTGACCGCCAATATTTTTATTTTTTCGAGCTCCAGTAAGAGGTAATATTATAGAAATTTAGCTTCCTATCTGTTTTCTAAATAGAGATATGGAACACCGCGCCACTGTTGCAGGACCCTGTATATACGATAAACACACATAACCTTTAACAATTCAGTGTACAAGCTGGTGTTTTTGGAAAGTCTCTTTGGGTTCCTCATTTGCTCCAGGAAATCCAACAGATCCCTGGATTGACTTCAAAATACCATTGAACCAGCTCTTACTAATATACCGATGAATGATCCTGAATAAATTGAGGAGAAATGATGTTTCAACAAGACGGTGACTCTCTACAATATTATGATCTGATGATCATGCGTATATTAAAGAGAAAATTATATTTCAGCAAGCTCTTTCAGTTCATTCGCAAAATGAGCATGATCTTTTGCAACTTTTGCAACTCTCAGGGAGTTTTGAAAGAAGTTATGAAATAAATGTCATTTGGCCATTTCAGAATCAATTAATAAATGACAATGTATAGGTTATTAAAACATATTCAGAGACGTACTCAAGACGTTAATATTCTTGTGGCATATAAAAGGATAAAACGATAAAAAAAGTTTTCTACTGGATCCTTCAATTTATTAATAGCTCGAGATTATATTTTCCTTTAAATTTGTTAAATTTAATTCCGAACCTTCAATTCATGAACTTTCATGAACGATGTTCAATCTGGCTTGTGAAATTATTAAAACATATTCAGAGACGTACTCAAGACGTTAATATTCTTGTGGCATATAAAAGGATAAAACGATAAAAGAAGTTTTCTACTGGATCCTTCAATTTATTAATAGCTCGAGATTATATTTTCCTTTAAATTTGTTAAATTTAATTCCGAACCTTCAATTCATGAACGATGTTCAATCTGGCTTGTGAAATTGTTTCCTATCGTATAAACACAAGTTGACAAAAGATGTAATTCTGTTGAGGCATTAAGGAAATTTCATTGCTTTGCTTTCATCCAAAATATCCTTTGGAAATGAAATTAGTTTTTTAGGTACACGTACGTTATGGAAATAGTATTTCACGAATTAGGTATTCGTACGGGAAATTTTAATGAGAATTCGCCTTTTCTCGATTCAATGTCGCTCCAACTAACTGTTCGTAAACCTATTCAAGTCGCGAAAATAAAATATTGCAAGAGATGGAGACTTTTAGGTTGATGTGAATATGTGATTCCATCATCAATCACGCTTTTTGACAGGAGTTCACATTAAATATGAACGGCGTCATGTCGACACATTTTCTCTGTGTCACACTGGGAAAAAACTCATAGTGAAAAAGGT